TTTATTTTCTCACAGTTCTGGCGGCTGGAGTCCAAATCAACATGCCGCCCGACTCAGCTTCTGGTGAGGGCTTGCCCTTTGGGTTGTTAATGGCCGCCTTCTCACTGTGTTTTCCACAAGGTCTTTCCTTAGGGTGTGTGTGCATAGGCGTGGGGGGAGGGAAAGAGAGAGACAGAGAGAGAAAGAGAGGAGAGACAGAGAGAGAGAGGGAGGGGGGGGAGAGGGCTCTCTGCTCTCTCTTCTCGTGAAGACCCTCCGCCTAGCAGTTCACTGTCCAGTGGTTAGGATTTGACACTTTCACTGCCAAGAACCTAGAGATATGACCAAAAAAAAGACACGATTCGTACAGGATGAAGGCCCGCCCTTGTGACCCCACTCAACCTTAATGACCTCCAAACACAGCCAGACTGGGGCTTAGGGCTTCGACATAGACTTTTAGAGGCACATAAACACAGCGAACACGAGGCAGTTTTTGATTTACTTGAATCTTCTTTAGTTTCTTTCCATAGTGTTTTCTCATCTGCAGAACATCAGTTTCATACTTCCTTTGTTAAATTTACTCCGAAGTATTTTATTCTTTGTGGAACTACAGAATCGCATTCTTAATTTGATTATTCATTATAAGTGAATAGACATACAATCAAGGTTTGCATGTTGACTTTGTAGCCTGAAAACCTGCTGGAGTCATTTATCAGTTCTAAGATCTATAGTCATTAACAGCTCTTACAAATTCACAGGTAGAATACAATCCAATAGAAAATAGGCAGTTATCTGAAGAGCAAATTGTTGTATTCAGTTGTGTCTCACTCTTTGTGATCCCATGGACTGGAGCCGGCCAGGCATCCCTGTCCTTCACTGTCTCCCGGAGTTTGTTCAAACTCATGTCCATTGAGTTGGTGATGCCATCCAACCATCTCATCCTCTGTTGCCCCCTTCTCCTCCTGCCTTCAATCTTTCCCAGAATTAAGGTCTTTTCCAATGAGTCAGCTCTTCACATCAGGTGGCCAAAATGCCAAAGCTTCAGCTTCACCATCAGTGATAAGTGTAGTTGCAGATAATGAGCAGAATAGCATCCTATTTTGTTGCAAACAATACAGAATGTCTCCTGCATGTATTTTGGGTGTGTCCCTGAGGCTGGGGTAGCATGGCGGTTGGGTGGGGTTGGGGTGGGGGGAGGTCGGTGGGAGGCTGCCTAAGAAGATGACAATAGAGAAGTGAGTCCAGTGTGGAAACTGTGCTTGTCTAGGTGTAAAGACAAAGAGCCAAATAAAAGTCAGACCTTCATCCACTTCCTGGGAGGGGTATCCAGGGTAATATGTGTTATTGGAAAAAATCAAGTTGCTTACAAAGTAAAATGAATAGTGTAATTCTAGTGTTTTGCCCGATGTCTGAATCCCCGAGCGGGAAGAGAGAAGGCTTCCAAGACAATGCAACTCGCAAAAAGGGAAGTTTATTGCTGACTCGAGTCAGGGCTCCTGCCGCATCCAACGCAGTGGTGTGGGGTCAGAGAGCCCCAAGCCCGAGCTGTTACACAACTTTATAGGGTGTGCATAAGCAGTTGGTAGCTGGCTTAAGCGGATTGGTTACATGTTTGCAAAGCAATTTTATTGGTACAAACTTTCATGGACTTTTTTCAAACTTGGGCGTTCGTGGGCTTTTCAGCTTTCCTTTGATAGATTCCCTTTGTTTCTTACTGGGCGCATGTTGATTGGCTGGCTCCAGGCGGCCTGATGGGGGTAGGGAATCTTACCATTTTGGGGGAAACCGAAACTTAGGTCCGGGCCGCCTGTCATGGTGTTGGCCCTGGCAGCCTCACACTGGTTGGTTTGTGAAGAGGGTAGTTAAAGTGCGTGTGCGCGTGCCTCAGCACTAAGCCGTGTCCGACTCTTCGTGACGCCGTGGACTCTACCTTCCAGGCTCCTCTGTTCGTGGGATTTTCCAGGCGAGAATGCCGGTTGCCATTTCCTCTTCCAGGGGATCTTCCTGATCCAGGGATCGAGCCCCTGGTCTCTTGCATCTCCTGCGTTGGTGGGCAGATTCATTACCACTGAACCACCTGGGCAGCCCATACGTTAAAATGCAGCCGTCAGCAACGTTTCATCTGAGAGCTTGTGTGTGCTTTTCTGTGAGTGTCCACGGGGTGTTTTCCTATTTCAGAGTGGATCCCCCAACAAATCACATTATCGGAGGGGCTTTCTCATCAGGGGCTCATGTCTTATTAGGACCAAGAGAGTGGCTCTAAGGGTTCTGGATTTCATGGGCCTGTGGAATTTTACAAAACGGTCCTAGGGAACGACTGATTGTTGGCAGCTTTTATTTCTGCCATCGAGGCCGTGGAAAAGCGCCCATCGCTGAAACCAGTGTCAGGTATTGCCTCGATTGTGAGCAGAGATAGAAACTCAGTGGCAAGGTTAGCTCTTTGCATTGAGTTTTCTTCTTCCTTTTGACCACTCAGCATGTGGGATCTTAGTTTCCTGATCAGGGATTGAATCCATGCCCCCCCCCCCGCCCTGCCATTTTAAATTAATTTAAAATATTTAATAAAAAGGAAAGAAAATGGGCCCATAAAGACCACCTGTCCTGGTGGCTGTCTGTCCATGGTTCCAAATTCTTGAAGTGGCAAATTCAGCCGTGGACCTTTAGGACAGAGGATAGAGGATATAGTGGGATGTTATTTCCCACTGGCCCCCAAATACAGAACGCTTACACTAATCTGGCTTTCAGCTTTTGCCAGAACCTTCATCCCCTGTATTGAAAGTGTTGTCTTAGCCAGTGAACCTCCAGGGAAGTCACTGCATTGTACCATTTCAACTTCATGAAAAACAGATTTTTTCCTTTTTTTTTTTTTTTTAATGGGTGGGGAGAGTTTTATCATTAACCAGAACCTTCTTGTCTCCTGCTGGCCTTGGGAAGCATCACTGCTCTAGTCTGAGGGGGAGGAGGCTGCCGCCCATGTCTGTGTCCCAAGTGCCCGCAGGTCCTCCGTGTGGCTGTGAGCTCTGCACCGTGATGCTGTGGCCCCGGTGATGCTTGCCCTGCCAGCCTTCCCTCCCATTTCCATGGCGCCATCTCAGCGCCCAGCATAACCTGCGGGCTGATCATGCTCTTCCTGTCTGATGCTCTCGCCTGGACAGTCAAGATCTCGAGAGCAGGTCCTTTACACTGTCTGCTGCCATCTCCTGAGTCAGAACAGGGCCTGGTACCCAGAAGGTGCTGAATGAGTGCGCATGGAGGCAGTGAGGGCTGGCAGCCTTTGAGAACCAGAGACGTTTCTCTTCTGAGAGGCCATGAGTTCTGATGTCTAGAATGCTTCCCTTTAGGAATTACTTAGAAGATCTGGATCATTTCTTTTTATCATTTATGTGTTATTTTAAACCATATCTTTGAATCAAAAACATGTGAAATTAAAAGACACTTGCTTCTTGGAAGAAAAGCTATGACAAACCTAGACAGCATATTAAGAAGTAGAGACATCACTTTGCTGACAAAGGTCTCTATAGTCAAAGCTATGGTTTTCCCAGTGGTCATGTATGGGTGTGAGAGTTGGATCATAAAGAAAGCTGAGCACTGAAGAATTGATTCTTTCAAAATGTGGTGCTGGAGGAGACTCCTGAGAGTCCCTTGGACTGCAAGGAGATCAAACCAGTCAATCCTAAAGGAAATAAATCCTGAATATTCATTAGAAGGACTGATGCTGAAGTTGAAGCTCCAATACTTTGGCCACCTGATGTGAAGAGCCGACTCATTGGAAAAGACCCTGATGCTGGGAAAGATTGAGAGCAGGAGGAGAAGGGGACGACAGAGGATGAGATGGTTGGATGGCATTACTGACTCAATGGATGTTAGTCTGAGCAAACTCCGGGAGATGGTGAAGGACAGGGAACCATGGTGTGCTGCAGTTCGTGGGGTCACAAAGACTTGGACACGACTTAGTGGCTGAGCAACAACAAAACAAATGTGTAGTTTAAAAAGGCTCATGAGATAAGCTCAGAGTCTCGTAAGAGGCTGGTCCAGACTGTGTCAGAACAGAACAGAGCACCAGCCAAGCAATGAAAGCGAAGTGTTATTAAGGTCTTGAGGGCGCAGAAGCTGAGAGAAGGCCATGTCCCAGCACGTCCTTCCTGACACCAGAGCCATCCTTTCAGGTGGCAAGGACGCACAGGTGTCCGTGCCCTCTGCCTGGTGCCCACCTGGGGATGGAAAACTTACATCACCGGGTCACACTGGCTGTACTTGAAGGCACCGCCCAAGTTCTCACTTCTGTAAATAATAATCTGACTCATAGCCTTATCATGTATTTCTGGGGAATAACCAGGAATTGTCCCTTAGGACACATTCTGAGAAAACACAGCTCTCAAAAAGGGAATTTGAGTTCAACATTTGTAAATGTCATGAGACTTCACAAGTTTTCACTCCCACTGGTGTTTCTATGGTGTTTCGTCTACAGAGCAAGTAAAAAAGAACCACAGTGAGCCCCAGGTGTGTGTTGGAGAATGTGTTTATTTAGGGGTTCTTTGGGGTCTGGAGCAGACCTTGGTGGACAGAGGACAGAGAGAGCAGGTGCTGGAGAGCAAGGTCCAGGGAGGAGGGGAGGTGGGCTGGGGGTTGTGGGCAATCCCAGGACTGGGGAGTGTTAGCGACCTCCTGGGGGTCTTGAACCCACACAGCTCAGATATTACAGGTGGTGAAGAGAGGTGATGGGAGGTGGGCTGGTCTCTGTCAGTAACAGCACTAATTGGTCCTTGGAGCCAGTGAGGAAAGTGGGGGGGGGTGTTTCTGGCTCAGCCCCGGGTAAGAGAGCAGAGGTGAAGACGACAAGTTGGGGAGGGAGCACGAGGTGGCCCTGCAGCGCCATCAGGACCCAGAGTCTCAGTGGTGCCTTTCCTGATGAAGATGCACGAGGCTCTGCGTTCTGAGGATACCGGGTGTCTCACTGGCCATGGGAGCTCAGATCAGAGACACTTGTCGGGGATTCAAGGTCACAGCTTCAGATCTTGCACTGACAGCAAACGGGGACACAGCAGCTGGACTGGGAGCAGCAGGGTCTGCAGCAGCTGGACTGGGAGCAACAAACGGGGACACAGCAGCTGGACTGGGAGCAGCAGGGTCTGCAGCAGCTGGACTGGGAGCAGCCACAGGAGCCACACCCCCCTTTGCCACAGCTGGAGCAGGAGCAGGCTGGCACACAGGAGCAGACGGGCACACAGCAGCTGGAGCCGCAGCCCCCACAAGAGCCACAGCCCCCCTTGGACCCCCCACAAGAGCCACAGCCCCCCTTAGACCTCCCACAGGAGCTGCAGCCTCCCTTGGAGCCCCCACATGAGCCACAGCCCCCCTTGGAGCCCCCACAGGAGCCACAGCCCCCTTTGCCGTAGCCGGAGCAGGAGCAGGCTGGCACACAGGAGCAGACGGGCACACAGCAGCTGGAGCCGCAGCCCCCACAAGAGCCACAGCCCCCCTTAGATCCCCCACATGAGCCACAGCCCCCCTTGGAGCCCCCACACGAGCCACAGCCCCCCTTGGAGCCCCCACACGAGCCACAGCCCCCCTTGGAGCCCCCGCACGAGCCACAGCCCCCCTTGGAGCCCCCACATGAGCCACAGCCCCCCTTAGACCCCCCACATGAGCCACAGCCTCCCTTAGACCCCCCACATGAGCCACAGCCTCCCTTGGAGCCCCCGCACGAGCCACAGCCCCCCTTGGAGACCCCACACGAGCCGCAGCCCCCTGTGCCACAGCCGGAGCAGGAGCAGGCTGGCACACAGCAGCAGACGGGCACACAGCAGCTGGAGCCGCAGCCTCCGGAACAGCCAGAGCAGCCCATGGTTCTGGTGGTGGAGAGTGGCGTAGGTCAGATGAGCAGGTGGAGAGAGAGAAGGTGCTCAGTGTGGAGTCTCCTGGGCCAGGAGCCTTTATATACCTGCCAGGACAGGCAGATCATATACTGACTTCCTGTTAGTACTTCCTGTTTGTGCCACTTCTCCAGGGCACACGAGTGAGAGTGTGTGTGTGTTTGTGCACACACTTGCTGTCCCTCGCCTCCCACTGGCTCTGTGCACCATCTCCTCTCTCATGTTTCTAAATTTGATCTCTTGCCACTTTGTTTTTCACTTATTAATGGAAAGAACTTTCCAGAATTCGTAGCTTTCCTGGACTTTTCTAGAATGCAATATCTGCCATTCATAGGTGTGTGCGGCTCTGTCTATGGGGCCCCAAACAAAGCCCAGACTCCCACTTACCTGCAGGTGCCTTTGTACTTCTACTGCCCCAAGAAGGTGTTTGTTACAAAACCAAACGTGAGCCCGCTTGTGAGCACACAGCAAAGCCAGTGTGCTGACACAGGCTGCCGGAAAGACGTGCGGTGTCTGCTGCAGGCACCAAGCAAGGGCAGCTCGCAGCTCAAGGTCAGAAGACCTGAACTCCCCCACGGTCTCAGAGGTGCGGCTTTGTTTTTTCTTTCCGAATTACATTTATTTATTTATGGCCATGGCTTGCAGGATCTTAGTTCTCTGACTAGGGACTGAACCCACGCCCTCAACAGTGAGAGCATGGAGTCCTCCCCATTGGACTGTTGGAATTTCTTGGGGGAAGGTCTTTAAAGACAGTGTGAGGGAGAGGGTCACAGGGTGGGTGACTAGCTCGTGCACAGCTCTCAGGGAGGTCGTAGGGGTGAGGTGATAGGGCGATGTTTCAAGAGCCTCAGTCATCACCCTTCTGGTTCCAGCTGTGCTTGTGGGCAGCCTGCAGTTAACTTCTTCCACCTGGTGGGGGTTTCAGTCTCTGCAAAGCAGCTCCAGGATGTGGCTCATGATATGATCTACAACTGTTGAGGAGGAAGTACTTTATGGCTAAACTACTATTACTATGTCTTGCTTGACTGTTTTCCCTTGCTTCTGCTTTTTTTTGCTTCTCTGATTTGCCCTTTGGAACTCAGGGAGGGCTTGGAGGCTAGACCTTTTCTGCAAACAAGAGGCAGGAAATGTTTTGCCCGATGTCTGAATCCCTGAGCTTAAGAGAGAAGGCCTCCAAGACAATGCAACTCGCAAAAAGGGAAGTTTATTGCTGACTCGAGTCAGGGCTCCTGCCGCATCCAACGCAGTGGTGCGGGGTCAGAGAGCCCCAAGCCCAAGCTGTTACCCAAATTTATAGGGTGTGCATAAGCAGTTGGTAGCTGGCTTAAGCGGATTGGTTACATGTTTGCGAAGCAATTTTATTGGTACAAACTTTCGCGGGCTTTTTTCAAACTTGGGCGTTCGTGGGCTTTTCAGCTTTCCCTTGATAGGTTCCCTTTGTTTCTTACTGGGCGCATATTGATTGGCTGGCTCCAGGTGGCCTGATGGGGGTAGGGAATCTTACCATTTCGGGGGAAGCCGAAACTTAGGTCCGGGCCGCCTGTCATGGTGTTAGCCCTGGCAGCCTCACAGGGAACACGGGTGGGAGGTCTGTCCCCGGCAGTTGTTGTTCCTGATGATTTTGGATTTTCTACACATACGATCATGTCACCTGTGAGCAAGGACAGTTTTATTTCTTCCTTCCCAATCTGTATGCCTTTTATTTCCTTTTCATGTCTTCATGTGTTAGCTAGGGCTTCTAGCATGGTGCTGGAAAGCAGTGGTGAGAGGGGTGCGTTTTTGCCTTGTTTCTGATCTTAGTGGGAAAGCTTTGAGTTTCTTACTGTTAGGTATGATGCTACCTGTAGGTTTTCTGTAGGTGTTCTTTATCAGTTTGAGGAAGGTGGTTTCTATTTCTAATTTCCTGAGAGTAAATCATTGGCAATCACTGTCAGACAGAGTGAAGTTTGTATAGATCACATCAGTTTGGTTCAGTTGCTCAGTCATGTCCGACTCTTTGTGACTCCATGGGCTGCAGAATGCCAGGACTCCCCGTCCATCACCGACTCCCAGAGTTTACTCAAATGCATGTTCATTGCGTCAGTGATGCTATCCAACCATCTCATCCTCTGCCATCCCCTTCTCTTCCTGCCTTCAATCTTTCTCAACAACAGGGTCTTTTCCAATGAGTCAGTTCTTCGCATCAGGTGGCCAAAGTACTGGAGTTTCAGCTTCAGCATCAGTCCTTCCAATGAACACGCAGGACTGATCTCCTTTAGGATGGACTGGTTGGCTCTCCTCGAAGTCCAAGGGACTCTCAAGAGTCTTCTCCAACACCACAGTTCAGAAGCATCGATTCTTCAGTGCTCAGCTTTCTTTTCTTTTTTCTTTTTTTTTTTCACCTTTTAAAATGATTTATTTATTTATTATGTGTTTATTTGGCCGCATCAGATCTTAGTTGGGGCACACGGGATCTTTGCTGTGTTATGCGGGATCTTTTGAGTCACTGTGCAAACTCTGGTGGCTCTGGGGCTCAGTAGTTGCGGCATGGAAGGTCAGTTGCCCCTTAGTATGTGGGATTTTAGTTCTCTGATCAGCGAATGAACCTGAGCCACCCCTCGTGAACTTGGGGCACAGAGTTTCTGGTCAGAAATGGGAACTTTTCTGTATTTCAGCCCAGGAGCTTGGGGCACAGAGTTTTGGGCCTGAAATGGGAATTTCTCCCTATTTTGGCCCAGGAACTTGGGATACAGGAACTTGGGATGCAGAGTTTCTGGTCTGAAATAGGAACTTTTCCATGTTTTAGCCGAGTAATTTGGGGCCCAGGGTTTCCAGTGTTCTGCCTTGAATTTTGGGGTGCAGACAAAAATATGAGAAATACATCTTCAGAGTTAACACCTTTTGAATTGTTTTTGAAAACATCATCAAAATTTTTATGTATCTTATGATGGTACTCATTATCAGAGTGTGGGCTTGGTAAAATGTGACTTTCCCATGGCTTTCTTGTCTTTATTTATCTTGCTGATAGATTCATTGGCCTCTTTGACTAGTTAGTTCTTTTTGAAGCAAAGATTGAAATGGTCATTCTAGTTTGTATGATTTTTAATAATCTCATCCAAAGTAATTTCTCAGTTGTTTTTTCTGTTGTATAACATTTCCCATATTCATTTTGTTCCTTTTTTCTTCTTGTTTTCTTTTGTGTTTATAGCTGTGCACCCATATTTTTTGGTAAGAAGTACAGTTGATTAACATAACTATTTTTGTGTTGTGATACAGCATAGGGATGCAATATTTTTATGGAATCCACTTTATTGGAATGTTACCAAATTGTGAGTTTTTTGTTGGTTTTGGAGATGAATTGCTTGTGGGTATCTTGGTTTGCAAATATTTCTTTGCATTCTGGGTTGCCTTCTTCATTCCTGAAGGTTTTCTTTTTTGGACACCTGCTTTGAAATTGAAGTATGTCGCATTTTCCCGATTTTGTTTCATTGCTCTAGGGGATGGATTCCAAAAGACCTTGCAATGAAGTCATCCGAACCCAAAAACACTTTGTAGTTTATATCCTCATGTGTCCTGCCTATGTTTTCCTTAAGACTTTCATAGAATCCCTCCGGACCTTTAGATATTTATGATTTGGAGTTCATTTCGTGTATGGCGTTAGAGAGTGTTCTAACCTCATTCTTGTTTTCTTTTAATAAGCCTTGCACAATCCTTATCAACTTATATTGCCGGCATCAGGGGAGGAATATTCCCTTTTCTCCATGCCTTCTCCATCAGTTAGCGTTGGTCAAGTCTCTGACTGTGGCCAATCTGAGTCCTGTGAGGTGATTCCTTCCTGTGGTTTCAATTTGCATTTCTCATATTTAGCGAAATTGACCTCTTTTCATGTGATTTCTTTTCAAGGGTGAGTTCATGTTACCTCTAGATGCTGCTGCTGCTGCTAAGTCGCTTCAGTCGTGTCCGACTCTGTGCGACCCCATAGACTGCAGCCCACCAGGCTCCCCCATCCCTGGGATTCTCCAGGCAAGAACACTGGAGTGGGTTGCCATTTCCTTCTCCAAGCTTTCTTTTCTTATAGCTCACATAAAGGCCCATTTTGGACACATAATTTGCAAACATTTTTTCCAATCTGTGCTGTCTTTTCACTTTCATAATGACATTATCTGAAGCACAAATGGTTTAATTTGATAAAGTCCGATTTACCCATTTCTTTCTGTCGCTTTGCTTTTTGTTCATATCTAAGAATCCTTTGCCAAACCCAAGGTGGCAAAGACCTACACCTATGTTTGCTTTTAAGAGTTCCATAGTCTTAGCACTTGTCTTGGGTCTACTGTTGAGATTGATCTGTTTGTTGATTGCTGCCCTGGGTCTTAGCTGCGGCCCGGGAGCTGCTCTCTAGTTGTGGCTTATGGGCTTGGGGCCCACGGCTTGTGGGATCCTGGTCTGCAGGGGTGGAACCTCTGTGCCTGTCATTGCAAGGTGGATTCTTAAGCACTGGACGACCGGGGAAGTCCCTCTTGGGTCTCGTTCTGGTTAATTTTTGTGTATGGTGTGAAATAAGGCCATGTGAGTCTCAGCTGTCCCAGTGCCATGGTTGAAAGAGTCTTTCCCCCCGTTAGACAGATCCCTCCCCACAAGGCGGGAATGTCTGGCTGCCGGTGATCACCAGTGAATGATGCCGGGTGGTGCTCATGAGCCTTGCCCCTGGGGCACACAGTCCTGTCTGCAGAGCCCCCGCACCCCCTGGCCTTCGGTGATGGGCTGTGCAGTCTTTGTGTTTCCCTCCACAGCTCTTGGCCTGGGCCTCTCTGGTACCCTGCAGGGCGTTTCCTAACTCTGAGCTTCTGGGAGACAAGATTGACTCTCATGGAAGGTTTCAGGCTCTGTCCCAGCTCTTCTTGGTGCTGACAATGCCAGCAGTCCTGGGGCGGGGGTGCAGCACAGGCGGAAAACTGAATGCAGGGCCAGGCTCTTGGCTGAGGCCTCTGGTCCTCTATCTGCAAAACGAGGCAAGTGATTTTCCCCTGACATCCAACTCTGGACTTGACATGATCGGTTCTTTAAAAATTTTATTTTTAATTGGAGGATCATTGCTTTTCCATATTGTGTGGTGTCTGCCATTTAAGGTGACTCGGGCACAGGTAGGCTCACGTCCCCACCCTCTTGGCCTTCCCTCCCACCTCACCCCATCCCACCCCTCGGTCGTCACGGAGCGCTGGGCTGAACTCCCGGTGCCTGACGGCAGCTTCCCACGAGCCGTCTGTCTGACGCGCGTCGTGCGTGTGATTCAGTGCTGTTCCCTCAGTTCACCCGCCTCTCCCTCCCCCACTCCATCTACACGTCTGTTCTTTATGTCTGCGTCTCTGTTACCGCCCTGACAGTCAGTTCGCTCAGCAGCGCCATTTTGCTGGATTCCATGCATATGTGTCAGTATACAGTGTTTATCTTTGTCTCTCTGACTTGCTCACTCTGTATATCGGGCTGTAGGTTCACCCCCTCACTAGGACTGACTCACGTCCATTCCTTTCACGGCCGAGTGCGGCCCCACTGTGTGCTTGTGCCGCCGCATCATTCGTTCGTCCGTCTGTCAGCGGGCGTCCAGGCCGCTTCCCGGTGCCGGCCAGGCTGAGCGGGCTGCAGTGAGCATGGGCTGCCTGTGTCTCTTTCAAACGACGGTTTTCTCAGGGTGCATGCCCAGCAGCGGGACCGCTGCATCGCATGATGGCTGTAGTCATAGCTTTCTGGGAAATCTCCACACAGTTCTCCACAGTGGCCGTATCAATTTACATTCCCACCCACTAGTGCAGGGGGCTTCGATGTGACCTATTTTTTTAATGTTTATTTATTTGGCTGCACCAGGTCTTAGCCGTGGCACACCAGTCTTACCCGTGGCACGCCAGGTCTTACGCTGCAGCGTGTGGGATCTAGTCTCCTGACCAGGGACCGAACCTGGGCCCTCTGCACTGGGAACATGGAGTCTTAGCCTCTGGACCACCAGGGAATCCCGATGTGATCTGTTTCTTCACGTGACTTAAGGGCGTCTGGATCGAGCGTTCTCATTTCTGTGTTTTGCTTTTGATTTCGGGTGGGATAGTGGACCTACTGTGAACGTTTAGCACTCCTTGGACTACTGTTTCCATGTGACCACCACACATGAGACTACGGAGTGCTCACAGTGTCCCAATTCTGCGTATTTTTTTAAAAAAGTTTACTAGTGTTTAAAATTAAAAATAGAATATTAAGGAAACATCAGCTCATCCATCTCTTGGCTACACATGGTTTTGATCACATGCTTATGATATTTTGTGTCCTGACTTTTTGTCACTACATAATAACAAAACCACAGTGATCCCACAGGCATTGGTACTGTTTGTCTGGAGTCCCCTTACCATCCACCCAGAGAGTATATCATAAGTCATATAAACAAGTGTCAGCCATTCAGTTTTAGGTGGTGGCTAATTCCATCTTCTGATAGATAATTTTGTGTTAACCAGCTTTTTCAACAAAATTTGTGAATTTGCAGTATCCTCTCCTCCCGATAAATGCTGAGAACTCAGAGCACGGAATGAAAAGGTCTGCCTGTGGGCGTCCTTGGTGGTCCAGGGGTTAAGCCTTCGCCTTCCAATGGAGGGGGCGCAGGTTCGATGCCTGGCTGGGGAGATATCCCACACACCTTGTGGCCAAAAACCCCAAAACATGAAACAGAAGCAGTATTATAACAGGTGCAATAAAGACTTACAACAAAAATGGTCCACATAAAAAAAAAGTCTAAAAAAATTTAAAAAAAGAGAGAGAGAGAGAGAAAAGGTCTGCGTGTAATACTGTACATTTCAGCAAATATTGCCAACACATTCTGGTTTCCACTACCACTGATGGTATGCCAGACATTTAGAAATGTCTTCTTCTGACGAAGGCTGTAAGAAAAGAATCATGGTGAGACAAAGCTTGTTGAGGACAGTTGTTTATTTAGCGGCTTCACAAGCCCAGAGAAGAATTTGCTAGACCGAGGTCAGAAGGAAGAGACACAGAAGAGGGGAGGGCTATTTGGTGGATCTGGGCCTCAGGCCCTAGGAGGTCAGCTCCAGCCTTGAGGTTATGTGAGAACCAGGGCAGCAAGAAGCCAGGAAGGAGACAGTTGGAACAGCTCCATGCCCATCAGAGGACGAGGGCTGGGTTTTCTGTGGCTCAGCCCCTGAGCAGCCTGCAGAGGGAGGAGTTCAGCTGCCAAGGAGGGAGATTCTCCTGGGTTGAAAGTGGCAGCAAATCCTCAGATGGCTCAGGCAGTATGAGGGGAGCCTCTTTCTCCATCAGGAAGTGTGGAACAGGATCTCTGGTCGTGAAGATTCAGACTTCACCGCCATGGAGAGGATGGAGTGTGCCCTGGGGGTCTGGACATGTCACTACTCAGAGTCAGGGAGCTGGGACTGGCTGGAACCACCTGAGGTCTGAGGTCAGCATCTCAGATCTTGCACTGACAGCAAACGGGGACACAGCAGCTGGACTGGGAGCAACAAGGTTTGCAGCAGGTGGATTGGGAGAAGCAGGGTCTGCAGCAGGTGGACTGGGAGCAGCAGGGTCTGCAGCAGCTGGACTGGGAGCAACAAGGTTTGCAGCAGGTGGACTGGGAGCAGCAAACGGGGACACAGCAGCTGGACTGGGAGCAACAGGGTCTGCAGCAGCTGGACTGGGAGCAGCAAACGGGGATGCAGCAGCTGGACTGGGAGCAGCCACAGGAGCCACACCCCCCCTTGCCACAGCTGGAGCAGGAGCAGGCTGGCACACAGGAGCAGACGGGCACACAGCAGCTGGAGCCGCAGCCCCCACAAGAGCCACAGCCCCCCTTAGATCCCCCACATGAGCTGCAGCCCCCCTTGGAGCCCCCACACGAGCCACAGCTCCCCTTGGAGCCCCCACACGAGCCACAGCCCCCCTTGGAGCCCCCACATGAGCCACAGCCTCCCTTAGACCCCTCACATGAGCCACAGCCTCCCTTGGAGCCCCCACACGAGCCACAGCCCCCCTTGGAGACCCCACACGAGCCGCAGCCCCCTGTGCCACAGCCGGAGCAGGAGCAGGCTGGCACACAGCAGCAGACGGGCACACAGCAGCTGGAGCCGCAGCCTCCGGAACAGCCAGAGCAGCCCATGGTTCTGGTGGGTTGAGGGTGGAGCAGGTCAGAGGAGCAGGTGGAGAGAGAGAAGGTGCTCAGTGTGGGGCCTCCTGGGCCAGGAGCCTCTATATACCTGCAGGGTCAGGTGTGACCTGGGCACATGGTCCCTTCCTGGTTCCTGTCTGGGCCGCGTTTGTTTTCTCCTTGCCACTATGCTCTCACTGACTCAGGAGCACCCGTTTTCTTAGGTTTCTAAATTTGGTGTCTTCCCCCCTTTTGGCTCCTATAATTAGGGCCTGAGCTCTGTTTGCCAAATCCTCCCCTGACATCCCTAGGAATTGGTCACCTGCCCTTTTTGCCCATCACAAGTGACCGTCGATAAGAGGGCCCAGGTCTACACCCTGGCAGAGTCCCAGGGGCCTCCTTCTCTGTGTCTGCCTGCCCAGGAAGAGGCTTGTGGCTCCAAGTGAATGAACCCAGCTGACACTCACTGCCCCAAATGCAACTCCTCTCAGCTTTTTTAGGAGAATATTAACTTCCAATTCTTCTTCACACTAAATTTATTATTTACCATATAAAGATTAATTTTAATTTTTAATCAAGATAGTAGACATATAGTTTAAAATTTTCCATGAGGCTTTACCCCAGGAATTTTCCTCCAATTAAAATAGATAAACAAATTTAAAAAAATGTCTGACAGAGTAAGACATGCACATTACTAATGAAAGAATTATTATGTGCTTATAGCTAGTTTAAATTGAAATAAAACTAAGAATCATATTATCAATAAAAACTATGCTTTATTTTTAGACAATATCTAATACTAATCTCTCATACTATCATACCTAAAAAATAGATTTCCTTGATATTTGAAAATGAATCAGTGTAGTTAATCATGTTAGAGCATGTCTGACTCTTTGTGACCCCAGGGACTGCAGCATGCCAAGCTTCCCTGTCCTTCAGAGAAGCAAAAACAAAGTTTTTCTATAAGACTCGGAACAAGGTAAGAATGTTCACTATTACCCCTTCTACTCAAAGTTAACTTTGTCAAATTAAAAAAAATTGCAGGATTGTAATTGAACACCGTAATCAATTTTTGTAAAATTGACATCTTTTCAACATTGAATCATATGATCTTTGAACATGAGTAGCTTTCCATTTATTAAATCCACTTTAGTTTCTTTCAGTAATGCTTTATAATTTCACTTTGGAGAATTTGTACACCTTTCATATGATTTATATTTCTAGGTTTATGATTTTCAGTTCAGTTCACTCGCTCAGTCTTTTAGGGGATCAATTATAAATAATTTTTGTATTTTAATAAAAATAAATATATATTTTAAAATTGAATTTAAATTTCTAATTGTTGTTGTTAGTATACTTGGAAAATTTAGTTTATATTTGTTGTTTCCCCACTGATCCTGCTAAATTTATTTATTGATTGTGACACTTTATTTGTAGATTATTTTGGATTTTCTTTTGTGTTTATTCATATCTCACCTTTCAGGCTTTCCTTGACAAATTTAGTCCACCCTTAGTACTTTTCACTCCTTCACAAGGAGACCGAGAGCATTACTAGGGGTTATCTCCCCTCCTGCTTACTTGAGGGCTGTTGCTGTACAGTTCACTTGTACACGCTTGTGAATCCCAGAAGCCATGTTTATTATTGTTGCCTTAAACACTTAGTGTATGACTCTGCTTGGCTGCCCTGGCAAAGGACCACATCCTGGGTGTCAGAGACAATAGGAACTTATTTTCTTACAATTCTGGAGCCTTGAAGTCCAAGATCAAAGTTGATTTTGGGTGAGACATCTCTTTCTGGCTCGTATCCTTACATGACCGTTGCTTTGTGTCAGGAGAGCAGGGGGAGACAGAGAGAAAGCTGATGTGTCTCCTCTTCTTATGAGGACAGTAGTCCTACTGGGTTAGAGTCCCATCCTTACTACTCCACTCAGCCTTAATTCTGCCCTTACAAGGGCTTCCCTGAAGGCTTAGTTGGTGAAGAATCCACCTGCAATGCAGAAGACCCCGGTTCAATTCCTGGGTCGGGAAGATTCGCTAGTGAAGAGATAGGATACCCACTCCAATATTCTTGGGCTTCCCTTGTGACTCAGCTGGTAAAAAGTTTGCTTGCAATGTGGGAGACCAGGGTTCAATCCCTGGGTTGGGAAGATCCCCTGGAGAAGGGAAAGGCTGCCCACTGCAGTATTCTGGCCTGGAGAATTCCATGCGCCGTGTAGTCCATGGGGTCACAAAGAGTCGGACAGGACTGAGCGACTTTCACTTTCATTCACTTTTGGCCCTTACAGGGCTTCCTCAGTGGCTCAGTGGTAACGAATCTTTCTGCAGTGCAGGAGACGCGGGAGATGTGGATTTGATCCCTGGGTGGGGAAGGTCCCCTGGAGAAGGAAATGGCAACACACTCCAGTATTCTTACTTGGGAAATCCCATGGACAGAGGAGCCTGGTGGGCTGCAAGTCCATGGGATCACAAAGAGTCGGACACAACTGTAGTGACTGAGTGAGTGTTGCTCTTAACAGCCTTATCTCCAGATACTACACGAGGGCTTCAATCTAAGAGTTTTGGGGGGGGGGGACACAATTCAGCCCACTGTGGTCATGACTCTTTTGTGTCTATCTATATATTTACACTTTCCAGTGCTGTTCACACCTTCCTGTAGATCTGTGTGTATTTTATGGGGCCAGTTTCCTTCAGCCTGAAGAACATCTTTCAGTATTTCTGGAAGTGTGAGTCTGCTTGTGAAGAATTTTCTTAGTTTTATCTTTCTAAAATGTCTTTATTTAAACTTCACTTTTGCAAAACTTATTTTTTTTAAGTAGAATCTCCAATGTAGAATTGTTAATAAGTTTCTTCTTTCACTCCTTTATAGATAGTGTCCCATTGTCCCCTGGCTTCCATGGTTTTTCTTGAAAAGTCAGTTCTAAATGTTACTCTTGCTTCTTTGGGAATTATGTGCCATATTGTTTGCTTTTAAGACCTTAATACATTTTTCGTTCAGAAGATGATCATTTTGTAGCTAGGGTTTTAAAAGTTTCTTCTTCTTGAGTTTTGCTGAACTTCTTGAATCTATGGGTTGATCTCTTTGGTTAACTCTAAAATTTTCTCAACCTCTGTCTTTTGAAATGTTGCTTTTGCCCCATTTTCTATCTTATTTCCCTCTGATTTGCCAATTACACTGATGTTAGACTTGTTGGCTCATTCCCACATGTCTTTTACACTCATTTATTGTTTGCATTCTCATTTCTATCTGCTTCAGTTTGGATGTTTTTCCACAGACTTTTTTTTTTTTAATTGAATTCCCTAATTCTCCTTTTTGCTATGTCCAGTCATCTGTTAAAACCATCTGATAAATTCTGAACTTTATATATTGTACTCTTCAGTTTTATTATATTTTATTATATAAATAAATATATTATATAAATAAATATATTTAAAAAAATAAATAAATATGTCCATTTTATTATATTTTTATGGACACTCTTTTGGCAGAATTTTTCCATCTATCTTTATTTAAAGTCCATGCTAGTTAACAGTAAGATCGGAATAATTTTTGAGTCTGCTTTCATTATGTTTTTTCCTTTTGATTATTTGTCACATTTTCCAATTTTTTTTTTTTTGCCATGCCATGCAGTTTTCAGGATCTTAGTTCTCTGACCAGGGTGAACCTGGGCCCTGGCAGTGAAGCGCCAAGTCTTAACCAGTGGACGGCCAGGACATTCCCTCCAATTTCTTTTTATGTCTGGTAATTTTTTTTTTTTACCTGTGTACTGGCTATTTTTCATGGAAGAACCATAGAAGTTTTACATGGTATAATCTTCCATCATGGGAGAGCCCTCGTTTTTGGGGAAAGGTTTCTGCTATTAGGAATCCTAGCCATCTAGTCCTTGTTACTTCCATATTTCCCCATTGTCTTTCAAATACACTTTGTGTAATTTACCTGGCTTTATTTTGAAGATTATTTATTTGCTTTCTGTTTGCGCTGTGTCCTGTTGCTGTGAGGGCTTGCTTAGCTGCGAGAGCAGGAGTCCCCTCTAGCTGTGGCGTGCAGACTGCTCAGCGGCATCTTCTCTCGTGGAGCACAGGCTCTGGGCACCTGGACTCAGCAGTTACACTGCACGGGCTGAGTTGCTCCACGGCACGTGGAATCTTCCTGGACCAGGGGTCAAACCTGTGTCCCCTGCATTGGCAAGCGGATTCTTATCCACTGGACCACTGGGAAGTCCCTAATTTGTTGTGGTTGTTGTTCAGTCACTAAGTCATACCTGAGCCCCTGCCACCCCACGGACTGCAGCATGCCAGGCTTCCCTGTCCTCCGCTACCTCCCGGAGTTCGCTCAAGTTCCTGCCCATTGAGTTGGTGCTGTTGTCTCACCATCTCATCCTCTGCCAGCCTCTCCTCCTTTTGCCTTCAATCTTTCCCAGCATCAGGGTTTTCTTTTAGTTGTTGTGGTAGGAATTCTGGGAGGCTGCAACTTACCACATTTTACATGGCAGTGGAAGTCCTCTTCTTTTTGTCTGCAGTATTCCCCAGTTTCACTCTGACACGATTTGTTTGTATATATTCTTGTTCTTCCTCCTAGGTATCAAGTTTGTGCTTTTGATCTGAAGAATCTTCATGTGTCATCTCTCTGAGTATTGTTCTCCTACCATTTCTTTTGATCTCTCCGTGTGGGGCACTTGGCAGAGCTGGGATGGAGCCTCTGATCTCTTTTCCACAGTTCTTGGCTTCTATCTCATGGCTGAACACTTTATGGGTCCTCCTACAGTCTGGGTGAATTTCTCAGTGCTGTCTTCCCTCCTTCTGACAACCGTGAGGGAGAATCTGTTCTGTGCTGTCTCCCAGGTCCTGGAGACGTGCAGCCATTCTTGGTGATCCCTGGACGCATCACCAGAGTCACGCTTCATCTTCTCACCGTGTTCTCCCTGTGTGTGCGTCCGTCTATCCCTAAACTCCCCCTGTATATAAGGACACCTGTCAATCTGGGTTAGGAGCCCAGCCAGCTGCGTTATGACTCTGAGGAGCATGGCACCTCTGGCTCGACAGTGGGTGTCATTAATGTCCCACACAAAGTTCCACAATACCCTTATCTGCTTCTGCCTAATTTTTCTTCTCTAAACACCATGAGAAGGTAAATGCAGAGTGGCTGAGCCTGTTGCATCTGGAACCATGGCTACAAGAGAGTCAGGAGAGTGCTATCCAGCCTCTGTGAAGTGAGACAGGAGGGGCATGCAGAGGATGCTGGCCCCAACACAGCAAGTCTGCTGCTCCCCAAAGGGAAAATCCTACCGCTGGACACTCATGTCCAGGATGCACACGCCACATCCTGACTCGGAGCCCAGGCCTCTCTGCCGCGCCCTGGAATGTCCCCTGGCCACAACATCAGTGGTGGAGCGTGGTCGTGGCTGGAGGCAGACAGGACACCTGGCGGTAAGTGGAGTCAGTGCCTGGTCAGCTGGCCTGCGCTGCCGGGCTCCCGGGCATCCACTTCCAGTGAACCCCCTTGTTCATAAGCATGTTGTACAGAGACTGCTATGAAGAGTTACACTGGGAATGAATTTGATTGGCAGTGACACAAATAATTTTATTGACAGGACATTTTATTGTATTTTAACAAACAAGTATAGAAACCTGCTGTGAGGAAGGCAGTCCTGCTGGACTGGGCTTCATTGGAGAAGGAAACTTGGATGTGATCAAACTGGCATCTTTTCTTATTGAGAAGCCAGGAGCTGGATGTTCTTGACCAGTCACTGGTAGACCCTTAACATGAGGGTCAGTGCCTGGTTGTGTCAGATGATGGCCCTTAGAAGAGTCAGGACAGGTGGTGGCCACCTAGTTTTTAGAGGATTGCTAGCATACAACCTTCCTCTGCGTGATGACATCCTAGATGGGTGGGGACAGCGCCTTGGCTCCTCCTGTGAATGGTGCTTCCTCTGCTGGAGTTAGGAAATGCAGGGAAGAGGTACAGAGCAAGAGGTGTCCAGGAGAATGACCAGCCAGGGAGCCTCACAGATGCTGCAGTTGGAAGAGGTTAGCTGAATGCTGGGCTGACCATTACATCAGATCTTGCACTGGCAGCATATGGGTGCACAGCAGTTGGACTGGGAGCAGCAGGGTCTGCAGCAGCTGGACTGGGAGCAGCAGGGTCCACAGCAGGTGGACTGGGAGCAGCAGGGTCTGCAGCAGCTGGACTGGGAGCAGCAAACAGGGACACAGCAGGTGGACTGGGAGCAGCAGGGTCTGCAGCAGCTGGACTGGGAGCAGCCACACGAGCCACATCCCCCTTTGCCACAGCTGGAGCAGGAGCAGGCTGGCACACAGGAGCAGACGGGCACATAGCAGCTGGAGCCACAGCCCCCACAAGAGCCACAGCCCCCCTTAGACCCCCCACACGAGCCACAGCCCCCCTTGGAGCCCCCACACGAGCCGCAGCCCCCCTTGGAGCCCCCACACGAGCCGCAGCCCCCCTTGGAGCCCCCACACGAGCCGCAGCCCCCTGTGCCGCAGCCGGAGCAGGAGCAGGCTGGCACACAGCAGCAGACGGGCACACAGCAGCTGGAGCCGCAGCCTCCGGAACAGCCAGAGCAGCCCATGGTTCTGGTGGGTTGAGGGTGGAGCAGGTCAGAGGAGCAGGTGGAGAGAGAAGGTGCTCAGTGTGGGGCCTCCGGGGCCAGGAGCCTTTATGTACCTGCCGGGGTGTGTACCAGACCGTTGATCACTTCCTCTTGTCTGTTTTTCCAGGGTCATGTTTCTGTTTGTGTCTCCTCTTCCGTGACTTCCTGTTCCTGGGTCACTAACAACTCTGTCCGGTTTCTAAAGTTTGCCTCTTCCTCGTTCCTCTGGGTTTCAGCCTGTCCTTCCTCAGCGTCCCCGGGAGCTGGTCACCTGCTTCTGGTTGGACTGTGTGTGACCTGCGAGGACGGCATTGGGTCCAGTCTCCTTCATCTCCGTTGGGAGTTTGCAGGTGTGATTAAGCTCAGCATCTTGAGATGAGAGACTGTCCCCCTGGGTGGTGATGGGTTAAGTGACCACAGCCGTCACTGAGAGAGGCAGGGGCGGAGCTGAGCACGCAGCGGGGGGCGAGGGTGTGAAGGGGCATCCGAGGGGCCTGCAGGTGCTGCTCTGTGCATCCAGGTGAGGTGGCCACAGGCCAGGGCAGGCTGGCCGCCCCCAGCAGGTCGTGGCGCTGAGAGACGGGCTCTCCTCGCAGACTTGCAGAGGGACCACGGCCTTGCTGACAGCTTGACTTACGTGGGACTTACGGACCAGGGCTCGAACCCAGGTCCCCTGCACTGGCGGACAGGTTCTTATCCGCTGAGCCGCCAGGGAAGTCCTGGAGCCAATGTTATTGGCCTTAGCCCTGTAGCAGAACACACAGTTGAGTTCTTGAATCATTTTCAGCTTTTAGTTTTATTGTCAGCAGATCGTGTGTACAGAGGTGGCTTGAGGTGCTTCTAAGGGTATTTTTAGCCAGAACAGGGATCCCTGAGGCCGTGTGCAGGGCCTCTGGGTCTCTGTCTAAGACTCTTAAGTGTTCTTTCAAGAAACCTGGGCATCTGTTTGGTATCTAGATATCTAGAGCTCTAACAGAGAAAATAAAATGTGTAACTGGGAAAGGAATACCTCAAAATGGGGTGCTGATAGCTTCTTATCAGCAATCTTTAAGAAGTTGGGGCTACGCAGTGTTAGTATCTTGCGTGTTTGTCGTGGACTTGGGGAGACACCCCCGGCTTCGGGCGACGCGGCCCCGGGCCCCAGGCGCGCCTTCTTGGGTCGTCACCAGGGGGCGCCGAGGGGCCCGCTGCTTTCTTTGCTGCAGCGGAACTCGATTGACTCCGATTTGGCCTCGCTTTGAGACCTGTTCGCGTTGTCTGCTTTGGAGGCCCAACCCAGAGAGGGTATGCGTGTGTTAGAGTTAACCTGGTAAAGAGAAGAAACGGCACCAAATCACAGATTTAAAGAGGTGACAGATACCACACATAGCACGGAACCTGAGCGCATAGGGGGCTTCCCCAGCGGCTCAGCTGTGAAGAGTCTGAAGCAGCGCAGGAGACACGGGAGGCGCGGTTCGATCCCCGGCTCGGGAAGATCCCCTGGAGGAGGAAGTGGCGACCTGCTCCAGCATTCCTGCTGGGACAGTCTCATGGACAGAGGAGCCTAGGTTCACATGACAGAGCACAAACAGGGAAAAGAATCTTATTTTGTTGAATGAATTGCCCCAACCCCTCTTCTCTACCCCAGGGCACTTTCCCCCACTATGGTTTTTCTTTTTTTTGGCCGCATATCCTTCATTACTTATTCATATGACAACAATTTCAGAGTTTTACTTTCTAAAGTGACTACAAAACTTATTCAGTTTTTCCTTTATCATGGCAGCTTGAGATTATTATTATTATTATTATTATTTAGTTCTTGATTTTGAAAATTTGTTTTAGCCTCATGATACTGTCCTGTAAGTATTTAATTGCTTCAAATCTGGGAAAATATTAATCAAATGTCTTTACATGTGTGCTGTGAAACTTCAGGGGATCAGCATTTTGTGTGATGTTTAATCTTATTGTTGTTCAGCTGCTAGGTCGTGTCCAGTTCTTTTCGACCCTGTGAGCTGCAGCACGCCAGGCTCCCCGTCCTCCACCATCTCCCAGAGCTTACTCAAACTCCTGTCCATTCAATCGGTGACACCATCCAACCATCCCATCCTCTGTCGTCCCCTTCTCCTCCTGCCTTCAATCTTTCCCAGCATCAGGATCTTTTCCAATGAGTTGGCTCTTCCCATCAGGTGGCCAAATATTGGAGCTTCAGCTTCAGCACGAGTCCCTCCAGTGAATATTCAGGACTAATTTCCTTTAGGAGTGACTGGTTTGGCCTTCTTGTTTACCTTATATTTCTTTTCAGTTAATTACATTTGTCAACCTGTTTGTGATAACATCCTTGGTGGAGTTGGTGTTTTATATTATCTTTACTGTGTCAATATTTTCATGTCAAATCAGCAGGAAACTTAAAGCTTTACCAAAATATTCATGTGATTTGCTATTACACATTAATTGGATTATCAAATAATTCATGAGCTTTCCTTACTTTTGTTTGAAATGTATCACCTCTTGTTAATGAATTCTGCTATTGACGTGATATGAAAATTTTGCTGCAATTTGGGCCTTTCATCAGCATGACTTCCGTGGTGGTTCAGACAGTAAAGAATCTGCCTGCAATGCAGGAGACCTGGGTTCAGTCTCTGGGTCAGAAAGATCCCCTGGAGAAGGGAATGGTAATCCACTGCTCTATTCTTGCCTGGAGAATTCTGTGGACAGAGGAGCCTGGCAGGCTATGGTGCATAGGGTCACAAAAAGTTGGACATGATTGAGTGAATAACATTTTCACTTTTAGGAATGAGTTATAGTTTATTTTATCATGTGTATTTCACAGTTTATTACTTGTTTTTCTTTTGAGCTTTTTACTTCACATTGGAGTATAGCTGATTAACCATGTTGTGATAGTTTCAGGTGAACCGCCAAGTGACTCAGTCAGACATAGATATAAATCCATTCACCCCCAAACCCGGCTCCCATCCAGGCTGCCTCATTACATTGAGCTGAGTTCCATGTGGTATACAGTAGGTCCTTGTTGGTTATCCACCTTAAATATAGCAGTGTGTACATGGCCTTCCCAGACTCCCTAACAATCTGCTCCCCCATCCTTATCCCCCACAACTCATTCTCTGAGTCTCTTTCTGTTTCATAAGTAAGTTCATTTGTGTCATTTCTTTTTAGATCCCACATATAAGGGGTGTCATTCATTCCTTCTCCTTCTCTGTCTGACTTACTTCACTCAGTATGACGCTCTCCAGGTCCATCTCTGTTGCTGCAAATGGCATTTCATTCTTTTCAATGACTGAGTAGTATTCCATTGTGTGTATGTACCACAACTTCTTTATCCATTGCTCTGTAAATGGACGTTTAGGGCTTCCACGTCCCAGCTGTTGTAAACAGTGCTGCAGTGAGCACTGGGGTGCATGTGTCCTTTTAGATCATGGTTTTCTCCAGATATGTGCCCAAGAGTGGGATTGCAAGGTCACATGGTAGCTGTGTTTTTATTTTTTTAAGGAGCTTCCATACTGTTCTCCACAGTGGCTGCACCAATTTACATTCCCACCAACAGTGTAGGAGGGCACATTTTATTCCTTTTGATGAGAAATCTTTCTTAGTTCTTTAATAAATAAATAGTGTGAAAATGACAAAAGAAACTTTGCTTTTCTATGTTCAGCTCAGGGTCCGGTACTTTCTCAGTTTTTTTTTTTTTTTGGCTGCACTAGGCCTCTGTTGCTGCGGGGGCTTTTATCCAGCTGCAGTGAGCCGGGGGTCCCCTCCAGCTGTGGCCCGTGGGCTTCCTGCTGCAGTTCTTGGCTCTAGGGCGCGGCTGCGGTGGTTGTGCCACACACAGTTAGTTGCGGAATCTTCTCAGACCAGAGGTCGGATCCATGTCCCCTGCACTGGCAGGCGAATTCTGAACTACTGGACGACCACGGAAGCCCCTGTCTGGGTTTTTTACCTAGAATGTTTAAAAACTTATTTCCAAACATTTCTGGGCTTCCCTGGTGGCTCAGAAGGTAAAGAAGCCACCTGTAATGCACAAGACCCGGGTTCGATCTCTGGGTCAGGAAGGTCCCCTGGACGAGGGCATGGCGACCCCCTCCAGTATTCTTGCCTGGAGAATCCCATGGATGGAGGATCCTGGCGGGCTACAGTCCATGGGGGTTACAAAGAGTTGGACAAGACTGAGTGAGCAGGCAAACTGTAGTTCAGGAAGCAAACCTGTCCTTTAACAACAAATTTGTCCTTTTGAGTGCACTTGTGGTACATCGTGTGTGTGCAGATTTCTCTCCTGAATTTTTAAAAATCTATTCAAGAGTACTTAAAACATCAAATCCACGTTGTCAGGCTTCCACAGCCTTCTACTGGTTAACCATAGGAAACCATCGTTACCTTTATATTCTTTGGAGAAAAACGTGAGCTATTGTGAAAGACTCCGCAGCAAGTTAAGAGGGAACTGCCTGCAGGGATTATGGGAGCCGCACACGGCCTGGTGTTCTGCATGGGCACCTGTGGTGCTGAGGAGTGGGCGCACACTGTTCCCCTTAACTGTGCGATGCTGCGACCGCAGATGCTGCTCACGGGCTGGTTACGGCGTCCATGAGTTTTCCCCTTTGCTGAATACTGGCCCAGGTGGGTTGTTTTCTGTTGGTGGAAATGTTGCACACTGCTTGTAAGATTTCTGTGGCAGCAGCAACATACAACTCTTGCCAGCCAATCAAGGCTCACCATTTCTAAACAGTGTATACAGCCCTGGAGACATGTTTGTATGGGGCTTATTTCACATATCAGTTTATTTTGCACACATTCTTATTTATTTCGGTCGAATTTTCATGAATATTTCAAATATTTCAAAATATTGGATAAGTGAGTCACATGCGCTTTTACATTTTGACATATTTTTGAGGGCTCATGCAAAAATGAATACAGTTCAGAATTTGGTTCTGAAGTGTCCTTAAGAAGAAAGCTTATATATATATATATACACACACACACATATATATATATACA